GGTGTAAGTGAACCTCACCTGGCACACAGGAAAAAGCAGCTGTGAGGCCATAGGCAAATAAGGTGCTGGGGCTGGAGGGCCTCGCCACCCACGGCACACCCAGAGCTCTGGAGGGGAAGGCACAGGAGGAAACCACCCATGGCTTTGGGAGCAGCTCCATTGGGGTGATGGAGGACAGGGGAAGGGCTGAATCCTCTGGGATTGGGTTGTGCTACAAAGCAGAGCTTGGCTGTGGCCACATGGCACAAGGATGGGGGTGGATGTCCCATCCCTGGAAGCGTTCAAACCAGGTTTTGGAGCAACCTGTGAGAGTGGAAGGTGTCCCTGCCCAAAGCAGGGGGTTGGAACAGGATGATCTTTAAGGTCCCTTCCAACCCAAAGCATTCTGTGATGCTCCCAGTGCCTGCCCCCGTGAGGTGATTTTTAATGCAGAGTTATTCCTTGGGCAGCAGAGGCTGGGCACAGCTGGAAATGTGCAGGCCTGTGGGCTCACATGCTCTCACTGCAGCTGTGCCTGCCCAGGGCTGTGATTTCCATGTGTGGGTGGTTGGGGTCAGTGCCCCCCCTGCCAAGGGGGTGCCCTGGGACAGCCCCTGGCGCTGCTGGGTCTCGGCTGGCTGCTTGGCTGGTGGGGTTTAACATATGGGGCTTTTCTGGAGGAAAAAGAGGCTGGGCGAGATTTGGGGGGTGTTTGCCCCCCATCCTGGTGCAGTAGCCTGTGGTAGCTGTGGGGATGTGGGTCCAGTTTCAGCTCGCAGAGGGTGAGCAGAAGCTGAAGCAGGTGCAGTGCCTGTAGCTTCACCCTTCCCTGGCACATGGGCAGAGTCCTGCAAGATGGGAGGTGCAGGGCGAGCTCCAGGGGTGCAGCGGTGCCTGGGAAGCTCTGGCAGCAAAAAAAGATTTGTCATACACAGCCAGGCACTGGATCATTGTGGTTTTTTCCTCTGGGAGCATCAGGGAGCGTTAGCACCGTTGGGCTCTGGGTGTTTGTCTAACACACCCAGGCACACAGCTCGCTGGGTTTCACACTCACCTCCAGCACGAGGAGCAGCCCCATGCTCCATCCCTGGGTGGGATTTATGGGCTGAGTGTGTGTTAGAGTGTGGGAATTCCAAACACAGAAAATCCTCAAAATCCTGTGCATGCAGACTTGAACACAGGGTTCAACCTGAGGCCTTGGAAAAGACTTCCAGATTTAAAACCATAAGCAGGAATGTGAGTTTATAATTTAGATAGAAGGACATTAAGCTAGGTAGTGGAAAGTTTTAAGGTTTTAAAGTTAAGATCTAGAAGTAGTTATAAAGGTAATAAGTTTTAAAGTGTAGCACACAGTTTTGTGTGTTATTAAATGACTGGTTAAAAGCGTCCACGCTGCAGCAAAGACATCTAAGACAAAATAATTAATTATTGGTGTGAAAGTAGAAACATCCTTTTGTGGCAATAGTTTATTGGCTAATTAACCTTTAGGAGTTGTAACCTGTGGTCCTGTGACCACTGAGCACGAACATCTGGTGAATATGGTGAAGATGTTCTCACACCTTCATGAGGCTGTAGAAGAATAAATCATGCTTTAAGACATCTCCCAGTGGTCCCATCTCTCTTAAAATGCCGCTATTAAAGCACCCTGGCAAAGCCTGTCCTGGCCATGCAATCCAGAAGTTTTGGGGAGTGTTGTGCAGTGCTGGCTGTCACCAGGGATGAGGCAGAGCAGATCAGATGTCCCTCCAGGATCCTTCCCATGCAGCCCATGGGAAAGGCAGCCAGTTAAAATAACAGTTTATCATGCCTGGTGTCTTGTGGGATGGTGGAAGGATCCCAGAACAGCTCTGCCTGGGTTCCTGCTTTATGTCACAGGATAGGAGCTGCTCTCCCAGCTGGGGTTGTTTTAGGGTTTTCTTACCCTTTTCACTACTATTTTACTGCCTGTCAGCAGTCCAAAGGAATTGGATGCATCCCTTATTTTGCATATCCATTTCCCTTTCCCTGCCTATGGGAAAAGGTATTAAAGGCAGGGGGGGGAAAAAGAAGTAATTACAACATAGAAATATAATTTGAATTAAGTTATTTAGAGCAGAAAGCTGGGCCTGGGTGTGATGCTTATCATTATTCTCCCAGAGGGCATCATGCTCTTTGCACATCATCTTGGGGCAGAAGGGTTTCACATGAGGGAAATCTGATTTTATCCAAGGGAAACTCCTGAAATGGTGAGGGAAAATGGAATTTCAGTGTTCACCCTGCAGGGTGTTTGCTGTTGTGGATTGCACCCTGGACTTGAATGTGCACCAGGGGTTGCTTTGCCACGTGCTGGCCTGTGAGAGCATCACCTTGTGCCTCACTTTCCCCCAAAGCAGAGTGGGATGCAGTACCTCAGTGCAGGATGGAGAAGCACCAGCTGCTCTCGGGATGTGCTCCAGGGATTTTTGCTCCTGTTACAGCAGGAGGACCTCAAACATTTCCTTGAAGCGCCCCCATCGCCGCCCTGTCCCAGTCGGTGTTTGCTTTGGCCGGGAAAGCGGGGCCGGCTCTCCCCGGGGACACAGAGGCTGTCACAGAGCCCTGGGGCAGCCTGTGCTTGTGCTCCTGGGTGGCACCAGTGTTTATTTACCTTTTCATCACCTGATTTCCGTGTCCTGCCATGTTGCAGGCGCCAGCCCGTGGGCTGCCAGCTCTGTTTGAGTTGGCAGGAGCTGGAGATTAACCTCCCGCTAAAATAACCCGACGCCAGCCCCACGTCTGCCCAGGGTGGCCGGGCTCCTTGCATGCCCTTAGAGCATCTTGTGTGGGTACTCTGCAGCCTGGTACAGGCCAATGTCACCACCTGATGTGATGGCACAGCGAGGAGAGATGTCCTGATGTGACAAGCTCAGAGCAAGCTGCAAATGCTCAGCAGTGCCTGGAGCTGTGGATGTGTCCCTGCAAGGCAAAGCCCTTTGGGGCTGTGGGACTGGGGGTGCCTTAACCCAGAGGGGACAGTGCTCTTTTTCTGGTGGGAATGGCCCTGTGACATCCAGCCTTCCATCACCCCTTGGGATATCCCCACTTTCCTGGCTCTGCTCTCCAAAGCTGCGATGCAGAAGAGCAGAGGAGCAGCAGATGTGCCCACAAGCTGCAGGTCCTGTGCTGGGGCTGCAGTTGGGGAAGCCAGATGTTTATGGTGCATGTGGGTGACCCATTTTGGGATTCTCTGAGCCACCATTTACCACTTTCTGCTCTTGATGGTGTCACTGCATTTGTGTTCTGGCTGTTCTCAGGGAGCTCGTGCCCAGAGCTGGATTTCTGTGCTGAAAATTCAAAGAAAGGGGCTGTTCAGGTGCCAGCCAGGAGTTTCCATTTCAGCCTGTTTGCACCCACCATGTTGTCCCAAGGGAATGACAGATTCGGGATTTTGCTGCTTCCCTGCCCGTGGTGGGTTTCCAGGCCAGATGGGACATGGCAGCACTGCTGGTCCCACAGGGCTGACTCACACAAAACTTGGGGTTTGGTGAGTATCAAACCCTCTTATTTCTAGTGAGACTTTGGATGTGACAGGAAGAAGCTCCAGCCCCAAACCTTCCTGTTTTCCAGTGGGTTTTTATCAGTTCACACCCAAAACTGTGGACTTATTGTGACTTTCTGCCCTTTTTCTCTGGGTGTTTGGTGCTGAGCTGGCACATGAAGAGTGGTGGAAGGAGTCACTGATAGAAGGGAGCTGCCTGGGTATCACTGCACTCAAATTTGGGGGTTTGGGAGGTGCCTGCAGCAGCATTGCTGCGTTTGAGGTTTGGTGGCAGTGACGGCATAGTCACTGTGCCACCGCCGTGCTTCAGCTACCTGCCCCAGTGCACGTGTTTCCTGAGCTCACAGAAACCTTTTTTAGTGCTTTAATCAAGATCTCATGCAAAGTCCCTGCTCTGTGAACGGCGTAGCTGCCACTTTCATGCAAACACAGTGTGGGAGAAGCACTGAGAGGACTGTGGTGTTTCAGGTGGCTGCTCAGGGTGGAAAGTCACCCCAGGGCACCCCGGCCGAGCCAACACCTGTGGGACCCCTGGCTGACTCCCCAGGGCACCTGCCTGCCCTTAACCCTCTTACCTTGCACCCTAAAAGTGGAGTCTGGATGGAAACAGCAGCAGATCTCTTCTGCTTTTAATTTTGGAGGCTCTCTGGGCTGGGGAGAGGAAGCTGGGGGTGGAGAGGAGCTAGTTGTGAGAGGACAAGAGCCACTTCGCTCTGACACACTCTGTAGAGTGAGTTGAAATGTTAAAGGTGGAATCTGGAGTTATACACTAAAGAATTGCAGGATTACAAATACATGGAAAATAGAAAAGCTGAACTCTTAAGGCATCCCATTGTCCAGTGGTCATGGGACCCATCGGTGCATGCAAAGGGAATGTCACCTCCTGGGGATGGGGGGATCTTGGGCAAGCTGTGATGGGTTCTTGGGAGCCCAGGGGTTCCTCTCAGGTTCTGCAGGTGACTGGGCTTGGGTTTGTCTGGGAGCAGTGTGGATGGAGGCTCTGCACCCACTGGGGTGGGTTTGGGAGGACAGCTTGGAGCAGCTGAGCATCAGCTTTGGATTTGTTTCCTAGAGTGTTGCCGGCTGTAAAGTACAACAGATTAATAGGAAATATGGTCTGAAAGTTACAGCCCCCAGTGGGGCTGTATGGGGTTTCTGGCAGGGAATTTTATGGGATGGTTGGACTTCTGTGTCTTGGATTTGGAGAGGGCAGCTCCTGAGGAATATTTTTTTAGGCAGGCTGAGTGTAGGAATAAATGCTGCCGGAGCCACTTGCAGCAGGAAAATGTTTCCAGGGCTGCTTGCTTGGTGCTGGATTGAGAAGTCTGAGGACAAGCTGCCCTGATGTGGGAATTTGAGCAGAAAAATTTGTATTTTGGGGTACTGAATGAACTGCCGGGCATATGGGAAGGGATTTCTAGTCCGGGTCCAAATCACTAATTATCTTTATTTTTATCATTTTTTGCTGCATTGTGCTACTTGTGCTGTTCATGAAAACCCACAGAGCTCCCTGCAGAAGAAGGTAAGTCACGGGCTGGAGGTGGCAGTTCATGCCTTGAGTCTGGATGGAGTGTGCTGGGGACAAGGAAGAAGGAATCTTTGGGGTCTTTTAATCTTGGTTTTAATCCCAGAGAAAGCTGGGTTGACAGTAGAGCTTCCCTGTGATGGTGAGGCTACCTCTGTGAACAGAAACACAGAGAATTTGGTTTCAGTAGTTAAAAACAGACCCAAGTAAAACCAGGGCAGTGCCAGAAAATAAAACATTTCATTTTAGAGAGAATCCCCCACTACAATGCTGTGTTCTCACCGATGCCCATGGCCAAGGGGCACCAGAGCAGCCCTGAAGCAAGCAGGGATGCAGTTCTGTGGGTCTTAGAGGATTTTTTTTGAGCACTGACTGTTCTTGGCTTCATGTTTTCCCACCAGGAAAGTCCCTCTGGGAGTTGGTACTGGAGCAGTTTGAAGACCTACTTGTCCGCATCCTTTTGATGGCAGCTTTTCTGTCCTTTGTAAGTACCCAGAGCTCGGGGTGGCACCTTCTGGGACACCTACAGCCTCAGGTGACATCCAGAGAGGAAAGGAGGCCAGGTGCCTGTGGGACAAAGGAAATGCAGCAGCAGAGCAGTGGTTTCTAGGGCATAGTGGCAATATCACTGCTTGAAGATGGGACTGGTGGATTTTTCAGTAATTCTGATCCATCCAAAAGTAAAATCAAACAACTCCCTGAGCTGCCTTCTGTTTTCATGGGGCTGTTCCAGGCTGATGGTTTGCAGTGCCCCAGTACTGAGCTGTCAGTTCAGTTTTGCCCACAATCTCTGCCTTGAGAGCAGCTCTGTGTGAGGAGAGGTTTCCCACCAAGGTGCTGGAGATTGATTTATTTGAGTGTAAGAGTGTTTGGCAGTAGGATGGCAAAGCTGAGACTCCTGGCTCTTCCTTTCAGATGTGACTCATGGGTAGATAAAGGGGAAGGCTGGTCCCTTGTGGGGTTTAATACATTCCCAGAACAACATGCAGTAAAGTGAGGGCAGGCAAAGCAGGTGTGAAGCCCTGTTCCAGAGGTCAGGTCTTTGTGCCAGTGCCTCTGTTGACACAGCCCAGGTCCATGAGCAGTTAAATGGAGTGGAAATATTTGTGTGTGTGCTTCATTTGTAGTATTTTATGAGGCCTTTGTGGGATGGAGAGGGGGCTCAGGGTGGTAGAAGCCACAAGGTCAGTCCCTGCTCTGCAGAGCTGCTCTTACTGCACTGATTATTTGTGTTCTGCCTGGGATGCCTGATGCTGCCGTGCTGCCTGCTCTCCCCATTCGTCAGCTCGTGGCCATGGTCTCCCCACAGGTGCACTAAACACAAAGAGGGACTGCAGACACTCATTCAGGCATTGCATGGCTGTTTGCTCCAGCCCCACTTGTTCAATGCATCAGCTTATCCCAGCAGAGGACTGCAGGCTCCTGCAGTGGGATATGGCAATTCCACTCTGTGACCAAGCCATGTGGGTCTGGCCACCTCCAGGTTGTTTCCTTTACACCTGTTGTTTGGCTCTTGTTTCCATCATTCCTCTTAAAACGCTGCTACTCTTGTTTGAACTGCATTGTGCTCCTTCTTTTCTCTTGCCACCAGATCCTGGCCTGGTTTGAAGAAGGGGAGGAGACCACAACGGCGTTTGTGGAGCCCATTGTCATTATCATGATCCTGATTGCCAACGCTGTGGTGGGTGTGTGGCAGGTAAGGCACAGCCCCCGTGCCTGCCCTCGGGGTCTCTGCTCCACCTGCCTGAGATCCTTCATCCAAAGGTCTGCTTGCTTCACCCCCTTGGAAACTCATTTGCCAAAGGTTCAATTTTCACACTGGCCATGCTTCCCCATGCCCCTGCAGCTGTGCTCAGTTGCTGGCTGCCTCTTGGCTTGTTCTTTCAGTCTTCCTTTGATAATTCTTGCAGGTTGGAGCTCATCTTGCAGTTATCCAGGCAAAAACCGCTTGTCTCCTGGGCCGGGGCCAAACACATTTTCCAAGGGAAGGTTTTGCTCTGTCCACCAGAAAGCCACAGTGCCCCTCACCTCACTGTGTCCCTCCTGGGGGATGAGCAAATGCTTCAGCCAGTGGTGCTCCTCTTTTGTATCTATTCATTCATTATAAGGCCATTTATTAATCTGAGGGGTGGTTGCTGGATGGGGAAGATACAGTTGGTTGGGATATGCCGCTTCCCAAACCAAGAAGGAGATGATCCACCCCAAAGGTCCAGGAAACATCCAGGATCTGGTGTGGTTTAAACCAGCAGGAATCATTTTGCAGAGGCTGAAGAAGACATGGTGCTTGTCCCATCCATGGTGTAAATGGATTCCAAAGCCAAGGCTGGGGTTTGGGTTGGCAGTGGGTGGTGAAGGAGCCTGCTGGCACCAGCAGCTCTGCTGCTCTCTCCTTGCAGGAGAGAAATGCTGAGAGTGCCATCGAGGCCCTGAAGGAGTACGAGCCTGAGATGGGGAAGGTGATCCGCGCCGACCGCAGCGGGGTGCAGCGGATCCGCGCCCGCGACATCGTCCCCGGGGACATCGTGGAGGTGGCAGGTAGGGGACCATCACCCCAGGCCACGGGGTCAGATGGGGAGGTGCCACTGGCCAGGGAGGTCCCGCCAAACCTGAGGCTCTTCAGCCTGCCAAGGCTTTGCCTGAACATCAGGCAGTAGAGAACAGCAGAAAAGAGAATAAAAGTATCCATTTCTGACGCAGGTTTTGTGTCTCGGGAGGGTTTCCCCTTTTTCTGGAAGAGCTAGGAGAATTTTCCATTTTCCGCCAAGATTCCCTCTTTCTGGAATGCTCTCCCACACGCATCCTTGGGCAGGGCGTGGGTGAAGGGCCAGTGCTGGGTGCTGCTGCAGGGCTTCCCTGGGAGCTGGGGCTGGCTATCCAGGGAGGCTGAGAGGCAGGGGGGATGAACTGCAGGGTGCTTTCACCTTGGGGTGGGTTGTACCCCCCAGCCCTTCTGTTGGAGCTGTGCATTCAGCAGAGCTTGCCTGGGGGTCTGCTGCCTGCCCCAGCAGAGCTGAGGAGGATGCATTCCAATTATTCCATCTCGTTTCTTCCTAAAATGATGCTGTAAATCCCCAGAGCCACAAAACTAAATCCTCTCCTTTCCTCCTCGTGGCCCTGCTGGTGGAAACATGCTGCAATCCCTCCTGTGCCCAGCCAGCTTGCTGTTATTTATGTCTTCTAGTTGGGCTTCAGCTGGGAGATGAATAAGAAAATTATGGAGGGAGGTTCAGGCCAGCCAGATCCTCAGCTGTGTGAGCTGGCGGCACTCCCAAGCCAGCTCTGACAATGCAGTCCAGCTGCTGACCTGGCCTTTAATTAAATTAATGAATTATTTATAAAATTCTGCCATCTTTCCCCAAATCAAATGCCTGCCCATCAGCAGTCCAATATTACTTTTTAATGGAACAATCAACATTGAGACTGGAATGGAAAGAGCTGAGCTCTCTGTAGGGGTTTTGCAAATTATTAGCAAATTATGGGTTTAGGAGGTTATGGGAAGTGGTGAGGGTGCCGTCAGGTGCCTGATAGGAAAGCACACCAGGAGGAAAAGCTTTGAAACTGGGGTGGACATCCAGGTGATGCCCTGGATGTGTGACAGCACAGGCAGGAGGGACTGGCTGCTGTTTGCATGTGCAAATGCAATAAGTTTGGCAGCAGGGAGCAGGAAACCTGTTATGCTGAGACAAGGAGGGGGGTGGCTGGAAGCTGGCAGGCTGCTTAAGCCCAGCTGAGTTTTCTTCTGTTGTGACAAGGCCATGGAGGTGAGTCCTGGTGCAGGCAGCTTTTGCCTTTCCCAAAAAGCACAGGCAGAGCATCTCTTTGGGAGCTCCATTGATTGCTGTGGTGCTCAGGCAGTGCCAGTGGCCACAGCCAGGCAGTGTCCTCCTGTTTTCCTCTCTTTCTCTTGTGAGACTTGTGGTGCTGGGGGATCAGCACATGGTCAGTACCTGGCTGATGGCTGGGCCAGGTCTGTTCCATGCCGTGGGATAATAAGGCATTGTGCAAGTGGCACCTCTGTGGCACCAGGGCTCTCTCTGCCCCTGCATGTCGCAAGAATCTTCCTCTGCAGGTTTAGCTCATGTTTGCAAGTCCTCCTGCCTTTCCCGAGGGAAGAGGAGCTCTTTGCTCCCTCTAAGATGCTTCAGCCCCCTTGAACAGATGCAGAGTCCGAGTCTGTGCGTGAAGTGGATGTTCTGGGGAGGTCTGTGCTGTTAACCACCAACTCAGTGTCCCCCAGATAGGTGTGACAGGGAGCAGGGGAGGTCTGGCTGGATGGCAGAGGCTGCTGCTGCATCCTGGAGGGTTGGGATCTGCAGCTGGAATAACTGGCTGGGTGGTGGAGGGGTGCCAGCCCCCTCCCGCCGCGCTGGGGGGGTTTACGAGCCCCGGGAGGAAGCGCTCGTTAAAGTCTGGGATTTGAGAGCATCGTTAGCAGCCAAGCCAGCAGTGTTGTGTAAGGGATGTGAGGAGCTGGGAGCCAGGGATCCCTCGGCCTCAGTGTTTCCACAGCCTTGGAGCGGGGTTGTGCCGATAAGGGAGCAGGAGGAAGAAACCCAGCGAGAAAAGCATTTTAAAAGCGTTTTTTCAAGGAAGCACTGGTGCCTTGGAGGGTGGTGTTGGGTGGCTGGCGGTGGATGGGGCAGTGTTCACCTGTGCCCACTGTGCCATGCCAGGAGAGCCAGGGATGGTTGTTTGTGGTGGACTCTGGAGATTTTCCACTGTTAGCAGCTTCCAGTCAGCCCAGAGGAACCTGAAGCAGGGTTAAGACTGGCATTAGGAAGCTCAGATTGCTTCAACATGGGGATGTTCTGTTTTTTTTGCAGGAAAGAGGCAAGGTGGGGGTGCAGGGGGATTTTGCAGAGAAGAGGAGAGACAGGAACATGGTGGGGAAGGGGATGCAGCACAGCAGGCAGGGCACCACCAGGGCTTGGCTGGGGGCAGACTTGTAAATCACAGACAGACAAAATAAAGCTTTAACAAAGCTTTAAATGCAGAAATGAGGTATCCCAGTGCAGGACCCTTTGCCAGCGGCTGGACCCCTCATTGCTCTGGGCTGGGTGCTGCTGTGCACCTGCACATGGTTGGTCTCAGTTTGGGGTTTGCTGTCCCCATTCCTGAGGTGTTGGGTGCTGCCAGTGCCACCTGACAGAGCTGCTCTGCTCTTGTCCTTGCAGTTGGTGACAAGGTGCCAGCAGACATCCGGATCATCGAAATCCGCTCCACCACCCTGCGGGTCGACCAGTCCATCCTCACAGGTGCGTGGGGGCCCCACGGAGCAGGGGCAGGTTCCTTCTGCTGTCTTCCTGGAGGCAAATTTTGGAACTGATGCTGGGATAAGTGCTTTGCTGGGATGGGAAAGGGTGGGAGAGCAAGATTTAGATGATGCTTGGACCTTCCCAGATCCTCAAAGTCATGACATGGTCTGGTGCTTGGGTATCCTTCGTGCAGAACACAAAGCCTGGGGCTCTCCTGAGTGGCATGTGGGGTTTGACATCCCCATGGTGGGTGTTTGGATGGTTTGGGGGCAAAGTGCTGCTCTAGAGCGCTGTGGGGTGTGTGATGCAGGCTTGGAACAGGGATGAGCTGAGGCTGGAGAGGGAACATGGGTGATCCATCTCTCCCTTCTTGCCTTGGCAGGGGAGTCTGTGTCGGTGATCAAACATGCTGACCCCATCCCTGATCCCCGGGCTGTCAACCAGGACAAGAAGAACATGCTTTTCTCTGTAAGTCCCTTACACCTGTCTCCACCTCTCCTGTGGTTTTCCAAAGTGCAGAGGCTGCTGGATGTGGGAGATCTCTGAGCAGAGGAAGGCAGTGCCTGCATAAGACCTGAATCCATAAAAAGAGCCCCAAATCCATAAAAATAAGAACCTGCTTCATTTGGATTTCATTTGGGCTGTGGCACATAAGGCCTTTAAATACCTTGGGCAATCTCAGAGCACTTTTTTTTCCCATCAGGTAGGATGCATTATGGATGGGGGAAGAGGTTTGTGGTTGAGCCTGGAGCTACTGCAAATTTGGGTCTCCTCCTCTCTTATGTTCTTCTCAGGCAGAAGTCAAGTCCTCGAGGGGTTACAACTCTCAGGAAGGGCTCTCCTGCTCCTTAGGGTGGATTTATATAAAAACCCAAGATGTCCCATTTTCCCTTTAAGCAAGACCTCATGTTCTCCTTTCACAATGAGCAACCCATTTCCCCGCTCAAACCAAGAGGTTTCATGCCCACATATCCACTCTGCTCCTTTCCTCCCCTCCCAGGGCACCAACATTGCAGCTGGGAAGGCCGTAGGGATCGTTATTGCGACAGGGGTGTACACCGAGATCGGGAAGATCCGAAACCAGATGGTGGAGACCGAGCCTGAGAAGACACCCTTGCAGCAGAAGCTGGATGAGTTCAGCCAGCAGCTCTCCAAAGTGATCTTCCTGGTGTGCATCGCCGTCTGGGTCATCAACATCAGCCACTTCAGCGACCCCGTGCACGGCGGCTCCTGGTTCCGGGGCGCCATTTACTATTTCAAGATATCGGTGGCGCTGGCGGTGGCCGCCATTCCCGAGGGCCTCCCGGCCGTCATCACCACCTGCCTGGCGCTGGGCACGCGCCGCATGGCCAAGAAAAACGCCATCGTCAGGAGCCTGCCCTCGGTGGAGACCCTGGGCTGCACCTCCGTCATCTGCTCCGACAAGACCGGCACCCTCACCACCAACCAGATGTCTGTGTGCCGGGTGAGAGCCGGCTGGGCTTGGGGTCTGGGGGTGCAGGGGAGGTGCTGAAGGGCATCCCATCCTGTGGTGGTGGGCTCTGTATCCTCACCACAGTCGTGTCCTGTTAGGAATGTGGGGGTGAGCAGGGAGGAGGAAGCCCTGAGGATCCCCAGACAGGGTCAGTAATGATCAGGGCTTCTCTTGGCTTGGGTGTCATTAGAACACTCACTTTTATCAGCAGACCATTGTGGAGGTGCTGTGTTGCAGTCCCTTTCCGGGGTCTCTTTCCAGGGAATTTTCTTCCTGCTGGGATGTGGCACTGAGACAGAGCTCCTGGAGATGCCAATGCAATCAGCCTCCTCTGCTCTCTTGCTCTTTTCCCCCTGTTTTTAACCTGACCAGTGAGAAATCCTGGACCATGCAAAATTATAAAGCCTGGACCCATGAAAAGCATTTCTGATGGAGGGAGCCCCGAGTTGGTTTGGTGAAGAGTTTGAAGGCTCCTCGTCTACCAGAGAGTTTTGCTCCCACATGACTGGCCATGTGGAGAGGTGACCTGTTAGGAAAGCCTGGACCATCTGAGCACTTCTCAGTTTTCCCATTAATCCATGAGTGTCAGGAAAGCTTTTTGTATGGCTTTGGCGTGTCGTTTTTATAGGAGAACCTTGGAAAATGTGTTGCTGTGGGAAAAAAGGGACCTGGCCGGCCTCCCTCCTCTCTGACACGCAGATAGTGTGGTGGGAAGCTGTGACAGTGCTGCAAACTGGCCACAGGCTTTGGCCACTGCTTAGCCCAGCACAAACTGCAGATGAATGGAAATATCTGGTACTTCTGCCATGTGGATGATACAGAACAGGGCTGGAACAAAGCAGGGAGCAAACTGCCCATGTCTGGATGAGGAGGAGGTTCCCAGCAGCCCCATTTTCAGAGCCAGTGATGCAGCGAAGCAGGGACAGGGTGCTTGGGGTATCCTGGGCTCTGCCCACTGCAGGGGGAGAAAGGAGGAGTGACCATTCCTTCCCAAACCACTTCCTAGCAGAGGGTCTGCTCTTTGAACTTGGAAAAGAAGTGCCACCATCCCCTGCAGTGTGGCACAGTCAGAGGAGTCAGGATGGTGATACTGGGGCAGGGAGTGGGACAGAGTGGGGCAGTGGCATACAAGGGTTTTGGCATCAGTTGTCATTTGCAGAATGAACTCAGTGACTTCACAAAAAAAAAAATAAAATAATTCAGTTAAAAAGTCAAAGTATCCTCCAGCCCATCTGCCCATAGCCTCATTCCAGTATCTGTTTATTCACTTGGCTGGATCCTGGCTCCCAGGGCACAGTACTGGGAGAAGGGCTGGCCCCAGGGCGCCCAGCCAGGGCTGTTAATGTTTAATGGACAGGGATTCCCGTGCTGACGTGGGCAGGACGGGGCTGCCAGGGCCCTGTGAGTGGCAGGTGGGTAAATATTTGTGCTGGGCTGCTGTTGGCGTGTCCGGGACACGCTCCTGTGCCAAACACTCAGCCATGGGGGTGAAGAGCCAGAAATCCCTATCAATAACCTGGGAAATGTATTAATTGAGTGTGATTTCATTAACTTGCCCATTAACTGGGCTGCAGGGCCTGCTGCTGAGCAGGACCTGCTCACTGTCTCACTGCTGGCATCAGGTCTGCTGAGCTGTGAAGTGACTCTTGAAGGGTTTCAGGTCTGGTGTCGAACCCTCAGCTGGGTTTCAAGAGCTGTGCTGTGTCTCTGGGCCTCAGGTGGTCAGCAGGGGTGAATCTGTGTCCCCCAAAGCCACCCAAAATGAGATGCTTTCTGCTGAGGACTTTGTCCACCCAGGATGGCCCAGATTTTGGTACTTTTGTTCTGACCTCAAGTCCACCCAAGGTTACGGTAAGAAAGCCACAAACCCACTTAGTAAATCAGAGTAAATCTGTGGTTTGTGTCACTGCTGGGAGTCTCTGAGATCACCATCTCCCCCAGCCCAGGGCATGGAGGAACCAGCAGCAGCCTCCTCCCAACCATGAAATAATCGTGGAGCAGTGGGAGCCTGGCAGGAGGAGAAGGGACATGGAAGCATCTCACATATTTACTCCTCTCTGCTCTCACATATTTAAATCACTCTCCTAAAACTTGCAGCATCCTTTCATGCACCCTACCTTGATTTTACAGGAAGGTGGCATTTGAAAATCAAAGCCCAAAGCAGAGATGTGGGCTGGGAGTAGGGTGCTGGAAGGGACCCAGAGAGCAGCACTCTTAGGCAGCCCCCTTAGACCCCACAGCTGAGCTGCACCCATGCAGCATTCCCACCTCCTTCTATTGCTCCTGACTTTTTCTATATTATTTTTTGTGATGGAAACTTCAGTTCTGCTCTTAATTGCTTAAGACACTACTGCTATTTCCTCTGGACTCTTTCCACTGCCCACAAACCTGCCCACTTCTCAGCCTGGAAATCTGCCAAAACATCGACAGGCTGAGAGCAGGGCTGCTCAGCCTGGAGAAGAGAAGGCTCCAGGAAGACCCTAGAGCCCTGTCCAGTGCCTCCAGGGGCTCCAAGAGAGCTGGAGAGGGACTTTGGACAAGGGCCTGGAGCAACAGGACAAGGGGCAATGGCCTCACACGGAAGGAGAAGAGATTTAGATTAGATATGAGGAGGAAATTGTTCCCTGTGAGGGTGGGCAGGCTGTGGCACAGGGTGCCCAGAGCAGCTGTGGCTGCCCCTGGATCCCTGGAAATGCCCAAGGCCAGCTTGGATGGTGGAAGGTGTCCCTGCCATGGGCAGGGGGTGGGATGAGATGAGCTTTAATGTCCCTTCCAACCCAAACCATTCTGTGATGCTCTGATCACATGGAAACCTCTGTGCTGCCCTGGCTGCCCCCATGCTCGGCCAGTCACGCAAGCTGGGAGCAGCAGGAAATTTGATATAACCCCTGGTTGCTGTGGGTTGTGTAGCACCTTTTTTTTTTTTTTTTTTTAAAGGGTTGGAAAAATAAAGAGCTTGGAATGTTTTGGGTGTTTTTTTTTTATTTCCCTTTTCCCTTTTTTAATAAGAAAGACGCTATTGTGAAAGTAATAATTGTTTTGTAGCCATTGAGCATTTGAAAACAAACAGGCCCCTATCAGGCAAACCCATCAGTGACTGGGGTGGGTGCTTTCAGCTTTTTTAAATTAGTCTGGTTGGTGTTCCAGGAGTCCATTTCCTGAAGAGGCCAGGAGATTCTGGATCTCTGGAAGGCTGATAGCATTGGATGTCTCAAAAAAAGACGACAGGTGCTTAGCCCTCAAAGGTTCCTTTTGTTGTTGTCTCAGACTGGGTGCCTCAGCACAGGTTCTGGGTCTGTCATCTCTGGGGGCGTTTTACCAAAGGAAATAGGATGTGGTTTTGCTCTTATTGAGTTTACACCCACTGCCAGGGGAGCCCAGTGCCTCCAGACTACCTGAGACACCTCCTCTGCAGCACTTTGGCTCGTTATTTCCTTCCAAACCTTTCAGGGATGCTGAGGGGCCTTCATGAGGGGCCTTGGGAAAGGAGCTGAGGGCATTAACCCAATGAACAGGATACCTGCAAATAGCTGGGAAGCCACAGCGAGGTTGTTTTGGGCTCAGAATTACCCACACAGGAGATGTGTGCTTTGAACCTGCTCCTTTGATTTGCCTAAACCTGTAAAATAGGGAGAATTGTTGCCAGAGGAAACGTGGAAGGCAGAGAAGTGGGTGGTAACCAGAGCTGTTTCATCTCTGGAGCTGAGTGATGCCTGCTGATTTCTCCAGCATCTGTTGCTTCCCTCTCCTGGGGAGCAACTCAAATAATCAGAGGAAAAGAAATAGAGAAAAAACAATTCTTTTGAGACAGGTTGGAGTGGGACAGTTTTCCCTGCACCTGCTTTCTGGAGACACTCAACAAGTTCATGGAGCTGAGGAGAGCAGCACTTCCCTGCAGCCAAACTAAATCCTGGCTTCTCCCTGCAGCCAGGGAAATGCATTTGCCAAACCAGTTTTATTTATTTACTTACTTATTTACTTATTTATTGTGTTGCTTTTTGGCTTCAGTGTGGGTCATAAATAACGAGAAGCAGAAACGAGCATCTCTGAACTGTCTCCTTGGCTGGGGTCAGGCCCTGCTCTTGTTCCCAGGGGATGCTGCCCTCAAAGGTGGGCTGTGCTGGATGGGGTCTTGGAGAGCTTGGGGAGAGAGGAATTTTAGTTTTATTTTAGAGTTTGAGGGATTTGTCTCAAGATAGCAGCAAAAGAGAAACTGGAAGCATTTTGAAAGGCAGAAATCACTAAAAATAGAGTGTGGGGGACTTTTATGGCTCACTGGGGTTTTACTGGTGAGCTGAGCTGTGATCCCAGGAAGGCACAAGGCTGGTGGCTGAGAGCTGGCTGGGAAGGGGTGGCAGGGGCAGCTGCTCAGATCCTGCCCTGCAGAGGCTTTCCAGGGCAGGAGTGGAAACCTTGACCCTTCTGCTCCAAGAAAAACACAGGCACCTTCTTAGGAGCTCTGTGCCTCTCCTCTCCTAGGGAAAAGAAAGAACTGGAGGAGGCAAACATGAAAAAGGCAGAGGAGAGCTGGAAGGATTTGGGGACAGCCAGGATTGGCTGAGCAGGGATGGGCCTGAGCCAGCTGGTGGGTTTCCAGGCTGGGCACGAGGGCTGTACCAATAATTTGCTGCCTAATGCTCTGTTTCCACCTCTCCTCCTGGCAGATGTTCATCATGGAGAAGGTGGAGGGCACCCAGTGCAGCCTGCACGAGTTCAACATCACCGGCTCCACCTACGCCCCCGAGGGACAGATGTGAGTGAGGGTCCCCTCCCCTTCACAGGGACACAGGGTGGCCCTGGGCTGGCAGCTCAGCTGGGGGAAGATGGGAGGGTCGGGTTCATGGCCACGGCTGGGGGTGGAAGGAGGGTTTTCCGAGGTGATTTGCAGTCCTGCCCGTGGGGATACCCGCTGGGCACTGTCTTTTGGCCACGCTGGGCTTGCAAGTGTTGGGTGATTGACTGTACTCTGCTCTTCATGGGGAGCAGGGCAGTTGTTTCGCTGTCCCTCACATCCAGCTCCTGCCCCACTTAATTTGGGTGGTGCTCACCCTGGCTCTGCCTTCCCACTACTCAGCAAAGGGGCTTCCACACGCCTGGCTCTCCCTTTGTTAGCAATCCCAATAAAACAAGCCCACCTGTGAACCAGAGAAGATGACAAATGTAGGAGTGGTGATGATTAAGGCTTTTTGCAGGAAGTGATGACTCTCCATATTTCTGGAGCCTGCACAGTTTGGGTTCTGACCAGTGACTTGCCCCTGCCCCGAGCAGAGTGCAGCTTGTCTAGGAGCCAGCAGCAATGGTCAAGGGGACTTGCAAAGAGCTGAAACCCCACAAGGAAAGTGTTCCCTGAGCCCAGTGTGCACAGCAGGGATGGCTCCCGTGGCTGGAGTGCCCAGGGCACGATCCTGCTGATGGCAGGGTGTGCCTCAGGGCTTTGCAGAGCTGCAGCTGAGGGCAGGGAGTGGAAGCTGGGGGCTTTTCTCTGAAGTGTTATCACACACACAGGGTTTTCTGCTGTTGTATTTATTTATTCCTGTTCCTTTGGGAGGAGGTGGTGGCCCCCAGTGTGGCAAAGTCTGGGAAGAAGGCAGGTGAGAAGCTCAGCTGGTGGTGGGAGCACTCTCTGCTCCCCTTTGCTTTGCTCAGTGATCCCAGACACATTTGTCACCATGGTCCCTTCTGCTCATCCGTGGAGCAGCTGTAACTCATCTCAGCCACAGACTTAATTTCATGAATATTTATAGAGCAAATTTGATCCTTGGCTAGGAATCTCCATTAAAAACTGAGCCAAGTCATAAGCTGGTGTCAATCAGTGCATTTCAATTAAAATTGAGGAGGACCAGGGGGCTGAACTTGTGCCTGCCAACCTCTGAAGCTCAGTGTCCCCTGTCCTGTGGGGGCTGCATTCAGGGCCACTGTGTTGGTCTGCAACAATTTGTGTTGCTCTTGAGTTTTGCTTTAGCCCTGTGCCCGTATTGTGCATCTAGAGGGGTGTGTGGGCTTGCTGAGGTGTCACAGAGAGAACTCTCCCTTCCCCAAGGGCTGGTGGGACTGAAATGCTTGTTTGCTTTAACCTGTCCTTGGCAGGGGGATATTTCATGCTGGACCTTGGGTTTGCTCACACAGCACCTTCACTTTGGCTTTCCCAGCACGTGGATCTCACCTGGCTCCATGCAGGGACTGCTGATGATGGGGTTGTAACTCCCATCCCTCCCCAGCAATATCCAAGGGATCACACGCTGCAAAAGCCATGCCCGGTGTGTCCACAGCTTTTTTCCTCCACCCACTGTCCCTTCCTGTGAGCCCAGGGCCAGGCAGCATCTCTGGGCAGGAGCAGTGGATCTCCCTTCCCACTCACAGCCCAGTACGGCTTCATCTCCCTCAGCAAACAGATTTTTCAGATTTTCTTGGCTGCTCCGTGTTTTCCGCTCCTGAGCTGTAACAACGGCTCCAAAATGTTCTTTCCATTGGGAACCAACAGTGGAATAAGCTGATCCTAGTAAATGCCTGACAAATTATTTTTCCAGCCAGCAGATGACCGGCTGGGTTTATACAGCTCTAACCTGCAGTTACCTCTGCTGGAACCAGGATCATTTTTTATTTCCCTCAAAACCACTGCTACCATTCCTACCACCAGGCGAGGAGAAGCATCTGGCTTGCCTGGAGTGTTCAGGGCTGCTCCTTTCCGTAGCAAAGAGCTGCTATTTAGGAAGCAAAGATCACAGTTCACCACATGCTTGGAAGCACTCACAGCAGTGCAGCTATTAAAGCTCTCTGCTGCTCCTAAATGCTCCCTTGGGTTCCCTATGGAGTGTGAAGAGCATCACAGGGAGGAGAAGGGACTTGCTGCTGATTCCACTGCTCCTCTGGATTAAAAGCAAATGGAAACCCCTGAGGGGGTGGATGCTAACGTGAATTTCTTTGCCCCTTTTCTGGTCCATCACCTTCATCATCAGCTTATGAGCAATCCCTGCCTGCTCTTTTGAATTTCTCTGCAACCCCTCTTATTCTGGGCCACTTCCAGAATTTATTTGCCTCCTGTGGTATTTTATTTGCAATTTAGTCCTGCCCCGTTTAATAAAGTACAAAATCTGAACCTGAGGATTTATTGCCAGCCCTGGGGCTTTAACTGGGCTTTTGCTTCCACTTTTACAAGAGTGATATATAGGCTGTGTACCCCTCTAGAAGGGATCTTCAGGTGAGCAAACTGTATTTGGAGGTGTGAGCTGGTGTAAGGGTGTTGGGGTTGTTTTCTGCCCGCAGCCTGAAGGACGAGCAGCCGGTGCAGTGCGGGCAGTACGACGGGCTGGTGGAGCTGGCCACCATCTGTGCCCTCTGCAATGACTCCTCGCTGGACTACAATGAGGTGTGGGGGCACCAGGGCCAGGGCTGGGTGGGGGGATGCTCTTGCTGTGCTTCAGGGTAAAGCCAGTAGAGTTTGTCCCTTGGGATCCCCTTCCCTGGCGTCGGCTCATCTCAAGGGGATGCTCTGCTGTGGTGGGTGACAGCATCCTTGGGGGCAGCAGCACATGGAGGATGCGCTCTAAGGCTTAAGCTCTTTTTTTCTGCCCTCTAGTCCAAAAAAGTCTATGAGAAGGTGGGGGAAGCCACTGAAACAGCCCTGACGTGCCTGGTGGAGAAGATGAACGTCTTCAACACAGACCTCAGCAAACTCTCCAAGGTGGAGAGAGCCAATGCCTGCAATTCAGTGAGTGGGGAGAAGCTCCTGTGAGCTACAGCACTGGGGGATGGGAGGGAGAGGAGGGATTTAGGATGTCTGATCTTTGGGCAATAAACACTTACAATGATCTAAGGGACTGATTTGGCACAAGGATGTGGTTTCCAGGCTCTCATGGTGAGCAGTTTTTGGAACAATGGCTCTGAGGGACTGATGCCAGGGCCTTGAGGACAAACGTACAGGGAGCTTTGGAGCAGGTGATTCCTGAGGCTCCAGCTCAGTCCAGTCCCTGCTCAGGCAGGAGAGACCCTCTGAGTGATAGCTGGAGCTCTGGTTGCAGATGAGGAAGTTTGGAGTTATCTTTAAGCTCTCATGCCCTCCAGCATGAACCAAACCCTATTCCCCAGGGCTTTGCCTGCCCCAGTGACACTTGCTCCTTGGTAACATCTATTTTTGACATGAAAATATCTTGTGCTGGCTATTTCCCTATTCCAGTGTCTCCCTGTCCTCCTGGATGAAAATACACTTTATTTTGGGTCTGTATTTCCTCCACTTTAGATCTCACAGTGTCTCTACTTGCTCAGAGGGCTCTCTGTTCCAGCATTTTTTCCCCAGATAGATCTGTGCAGGTTGTAATAAATCTCCTGACTCCTTTCTGATACAGAAAGCTTGTAAACTTTTAGCCCTGTCCCATCTTTCCTGGCTCCTGTGGCTGCCGTTCTCCTCCCATGCCGGGGGCTCAGCAGGGCTGTCAGCCGAGGTGGAGAGCACCAGCATCCTGGCATGTCCTGGCTCAGCCCAGTGCTCCTCCTGCAGGTGATCAAGCAGCTGATGAGGAAGGAGTGCACCCTCGAGTTCTCCCGGGACCGCAAGTCCATGTCTGTGTACTGCACTCCCACCGGGCCTGGCAGCAACTCCACGGGCAGCAAGATGTTTGTCAAGGTAGGGGCAAAGCACCTGCAGGGTTCATCTCCCCCTGCACAGCCAGCAGCACCTGGCCCTTGCTGCACAGGGCAGTGATGATGCTCTGCAGTTCCTCTCACACTCTGGCTGCCTGGGGATCCAGGTTCCAGCAGGTAGGCTGGTGGGGTCAGGGAGGAGGTGAGTCTTTGCCATATGGATCAGGGAAAAAAGAGATGATTTAGTGGGAGGAAAAGGTGCTGAGTGTGGTGCTGGTGCTGGGGCAAAGGAGAGCTGCCCTCGTGCAAAATTTGGGCACTTGCCTTTATTAAAGGCTTGGACCCTCCGGATGCCCAAAGGATGATGTCCAGTTTTCCACTGTAACCAGAAATAAAACAGTGTTTCATAGGGCATTTTCTTCCCAAGAGAAGAGATGCGGTGGAATTTCTCCCCGCTGACTCTGAGAAGATTTGGATATTGTTGTTCCCATTGGGAAATTATCTGGGTAGGTGAACTCTGTCCTCCAGACCCTCTGAAGCCTCTGGATCTGTGGCCCTGGGCGAGCTTTTTAAGAGGTGCAACAGAAGGATTGCAAGTTTTATATTAAAGAGCAATGTCATGGTCCCTTGTAAGGTCAGAAGGGCTGGGGTGAGATGCTGGGATAGTAAAGGACGTGTTTTCCTGAACTGCAAAGGCATCACAAGCATCTGTTGAGTATGCCACGTTTTTCTCTGCACAGATTTACAGCCCTCATGCCCTGCAGGTCAGAGCAGGGATCTCTGGGGTGGAGTATCTCGGTTGGATGTGTAGGTTTTGCAGGAGTCAGGCTCTCCTGCAGGTCCTGCTCTTGGTGACCTGCTGCGGGTTCGTGCTCCGGGGTGTGATCCCGGTGTGCTCGGTCGGAGGCTGCCATCTAGTGCCGCAGGGCTGGGATGCGTGCTGGAATTTTGGGGAGATTTTGCCCAAACTTGGCTGCTTCCCTCCCTCTGACACTTCCTGCGGTGCTGGCAAGAGACGCCCGTCCTCCAGCTTTACTGCAGCCCCTGAGCCCTCCGCTCCTCCGCAGGGTGCCCCCGAAAGCGTCATCGAGCGCTGCACCCACGTCCGCGTGGGCACTGCCAAGGTCCCGCTGACGGCCCCGGTGAGGGACAAGATCCTGGGCAGGATCCGGGACTGGGGCATGGGCATTGACACCCTGCGCTGCCTGGCCCTGGCCACCCACGACTCGCCTGTCCGCAGGGAGAGCATGCAGCTGCACGACTCCGCTGCCTTCGTCCACTACGAGGTACGGCACCAGAGCTTTGGCCAGGAGCTTTCTTCCTTATTCCCAAAGTTTCCCCATATAGTCCCAGCTGTCCCAGAAGTATTTTCCCTCTGGTTTCTCTGTGGGCAGTGTAATGGCTCATCTCCTCTGCAAACCTCGGGGGCTGATTTGAAGGATAACAAGTCCCGTCTCACTGAGCAGGTTTTCCTGTGGAGTGACTGCTGAGAGGGCCTTGGAGATCGTTGTGAGGCATGGGGAGGAGGGGAGCAAAGAGAAAACGTGAGGGAGAGCAGAGGGAATGGGAGCATCCCATTGGATTGGGGCTGTAGAGTGCACCCATGGGGCAGCTGGTACGGAAACCTCTTGAACATTTCTTCCCGGGGAAAATCCCTGTGAAGCCCAAGATGGTTTCACAGCAGGGGAGGAAGTGAATGCATCCCAAGGGGTTAATGTGGGGCTGGGGTGTGTTCCTTCCACCCAGAACAACCTGACCTTTGTGGGCTGTGTGGGGATGCTGGACCCTCCCCGCAAAGAGGTCACATCGTCCATCGAGATGTGCCGCAAGGCCGGCATCCGCGTCATCATGATCACTGGTGACAACAAGGGCACGGCAGTGGCCATCTGCCGCCGGATCAGCATCTTCTCCGAGACCGAGGACGTGTCTGGCAAGGCCTACACGGGCCGGGAGTTCGATGAGCTGTCCCCTGAGGCACAGCGCCAGGCGTGCCGGGAAGCCCGCTGCTTCGCCCGCGTGGAGCCGGCGCACAAATCCCGCATCGTCGAGTACCTCCAGTCCTTCAACGAGATCACGGCCATGGTGAGCCCTCGGGGACACCCTGCCACCCCCTGTCCCCTCCTCCCCACCTCGCTCAATCCCTTGCACGCTTAACCACGGCTCGGTGCAGACAGGCGATGGCGTCAATGACGCTCCGGCCCTGAAGAAGGCAGAGATTGGCATCGCCATGGGGTCGGGCACGGCCGTTGCCAAGTCAGCCGCTGAGATGGTGCTCTCTGACGACAACTTCTCCACCATCGTGTCGGCCGTGGAGGAGGGCAGAGCCATCTACAGCAACATGAAGCAGTTCATCCGCTATCTCATCTCCTCCAACGTCGGGGAGGTCGTTTGGTGAGAGCCTCCCACACCGGGTACCGTGCTGCGGGAGCAGCAGTGGGGGGACGCATCCCCTGGGACAGGTCACCTGCAGTCAGCAGCATGTGGTGCCCAAACTGGTAATCCCAGGCACCATGACTTGTTCCCCAGGGGCAGGGAGTTTTGTTTTTTTGGTGCCACCCTGCAGGACATGTTCTGTTAAAGTATTGCCTATTTAAGCCCACGTGAGTGCCTGATCTGGGTGCAGATATTTGTGCACAGGCTGTTGTCACCCAGTCACAGCCATCCCTGCCCATCTCTCCCAAACCTCAGCAACATCAGCACAACCTTGGGATCACTTGGGCATCCTTTTCCCCTACATTTCAGCATGAGTGTTTGTGCTGGGAATGGGAACCTTTGTGGCCGCGGGGACGTCAATAGTTGGGTTACAATTGCAAAACAAATTTTAATATCAATAGAAACAAACTTTAGCTGCAAAATTCAGTGCTAGGCTTCAGGTTCCTTATCAGGGGCTGTGGGTTCATCTGCAGAACTTTGGCTGAGTATTCAGTCTGGGGCTTTGGATGCAGATGCATCTCTCTCCCCCTTGCATGACACAGAACCTTGGCTTCCCAGAGCTTGTCTGATTTTATATCTCTTGTTTTTTCCCTGCAGTATCTTCCTGACAGCCATCCTGGGCCTGCCCGAGGCCCTCATCCCTGTGCAGCTACTGTGGGTGAACCTGGTGACAGATGGGCTGCCAGCCACCGCTCTGGGCTTCAACCCCCCCGACCTGGACATCATGGACAAGCAGCCCCGCAACCCCAAGGAGCCCCTCATCAGTGGCTGGCTCTTCTTCCGCTACCTGGCTGTTGGAGGTGAGTGCTCCCCGTGGGGTGGGCACTGTTAGGATGTGCCTGGGGTGTCCTGGGCCAGGGACCCCTCTCTGGGTGCTGGGGTAAGGGTGTCTCTCTTGGCCACAGTGTACGTGGGGCTGGCCACAGTGGGTGCAGCGACCTGGTGGTTCCTGTACGACGCCGAGGGACCGCAGGTCTCCTTCCATCAGCTGGTGAGTCAGGAGGGGAGCAGGCTGACAGCTGGAGTGGATGGGTGAGGGCATGCATTCACGTGTTGGGGTCTTTTGTCTACCTTTCCTTGGTTGTAGCATTCCCAAATTCTTAGTGGAGAAGACAGTAATTCAAAACAGAAGCAAATTCTCTCCCTCAGGCTGTTTCCAGCCTTGCTTCTGACAGCCACCAGCATGGTAGTGAAAGTTTCAGATTGAGAAAGATTCAGAAAAGCTGAAAGTAGCTTCTGTGCCTCATCCCATGTTGGAAGGGATCTGTTCTCACATTACATTACTGTAGCTGATGTGAAAACTGCAGGGTAGGGGGAAAGCAGGTGCTGTCACACCCCAATGGCATGTGCAATGCAAGATGGATTTCTGAAGGAGACACGTGTGTGCTCAAAGTCCTTCCTAACTGCACCTGGGAGCCTCAAAGCCGCTGTCCAGCCATACACCTAAAGCCCAGCCCCAGGAGAAGCTGGGTCACTGGAGGCAGTTTATTGGTTACTCTGAACTGTGGGATATTTAACAGCAGCCCAGTTCATCAAGTGCCCCCCAACCAGTTGGCTCTTCCTCCTCTCTCCTGCCTTTCCTGCTGCTCTGCCATGTATTTACCAGCAGTTTCCTGTGCTGACAGAGGAACTTCATGAGGTGCACTGAGGACAACCCCATCTTTGAAGGAATTGACTGTGAGATCTTCGAGTCGCGATACCCAACGACGATGGCTCTGTCTGTGCTGGTGACAATCGAAATGTGCAATGCTCTGAACAGGTGTGGTGGCCACAGGGCTGTCCTCTTTGCTCATGACTGGTTTTGTGCAGGGTCTCTTTGAGCATCTGTGGGTGGGCTGAGGGCTTTGCCTTGGCTCAGCAGAGCTCTTCAGAGCATCCTCACAGGGGACCACTGGGTTTTCCATAAATTCCTCCCAGGCAGTGTGCTGTGGGTGAGAGCAGTGAAGGAAGGACTGGATCTGGATTCGTTAGTGATTTGGTCATTAATGATCAGCCCTAATCCATGCGTTGCTGGTTGTATTGGCCATCCACATCCAGTTTGCAGCAAGGCCTGAAGATGAACAGCCTGGGAAAGAAGGGATATAGCATATGGCCTTGCACGTTTGGAGGGAAATGGAATTCCCAGCACAGGCAGATACGGGGAGGTTTCTGGAGCTAACGTTGTCCCCTCACTTTCACAGTGTCTCTGAGAACCAGTCGCTGCTGCGGATGCCACCGTGGCTCAACATCTGGCTGCTGGGGGCCATCATCATGTCCATGGCTCTGCACTTCCTCATCCTTTATGTCAAGCCCATGCCTGTGAGTGCCCCCTGTCAGCTCCCTGTGCCTTCTGTGGACAGGGATATCCCTGGAGCAATCTTTGGGTCTGGAAACCTCTGGGATGGTTGTTCCCAGAAGGTTCTCTCAAGAGCAGGGCCCATGATCAAACCAGCACAGAAAATAGGAGTCATTCTGCCCCACGAGCAATGAGTCAGAAGCTCTCCCTATGGGCAATGCAAAGGCTCTAGATCTCTCCAGAAGGTGGTTCAGCCCTTCAGGAGTTGTCTCCTTCCTTTTCAAGGTTAGGGATGCCAAAGGTGCTTAAGATGAAGTGTATTTTTGTACCCAGGTGGTTGCATTGTCCCTTGTCACCTGCTAAGCACCTGAGTACATAAACACGCAGTCCTACCTTGTGCCTCACTTTCCCCATTTGCCGGAGAGGTGAAGAACATCCTTTTTCACTCATCTTGTCCAAGAGCCACCTTGGATCATGACAGACCTTGAAATCCTGCAGTTTGGGCTGTCTGGATCCTCCCTCTTTATACCTGGGATGACCCTCTCTCAACCTTTGCCATACAACAGTGCAGTCCTTAAAACAACAAAACATTCCACCTGCTTCCCTGTTGACATGTCCAATCCTTTTCACCCCACAGCTCATCTTCCAGGTGACCCCCCTGAGCTGGCCACAGTGGGTGGTTGTGATGAAGATCTCCCTGCCTGTGATCCTGCTGGACGAAGGACTCAAGTACCTTTCCCGCAACCACCTGGATGGTGAGCATGGTCTGCACCACTCTGGGTTAGGGTGGCTCCATGGCACTTTGCTTGGGGTTCCTGGTGGCTTTGTGGAGCCCTGGCTCACCTCCTCTGCTCGTGTGATGTCTGCACCTGCATGTTCACCCACCTTTGCTGTGCAAAGGGGCTTTTTCTCCTACTCCCTTCCTTTCTGGTGCCACGCCTGGCAGAGCAGTTGGTAATTACGTCTGCCTGAAATGCTCCCTTTGGAGCATTAGATAAATCTGCCACAGGTTGTTAATTCAACTCCTCTCAAACCTCCAGGAACTGGATCCCTTTGCTTATAAAGCAAAACAAATCAAACACTGATTTGTAACAGGAACCCTTTATTTTTCCTCTCAGATTTCCATCCCTCTCTGTCCATCCTTTATTTTGTGTTGGCAGCCTCTATGCTAAGATCAGTTAGGAGCTGAACACCTTATAAACTGGTTTTAATGGGGTTTCCCTTGGCCAGCACCTCTCAGGATGCAGCCCTTGGCACAACAGGAGGAGAAGCAGCTCCTGTGACACTGAAGCAGCAGTCCCCATGTGCTCCTGGGCTCCATGCTGTAAATCACAGCATGTCTTTGGGCAGCCCTCCAAAGAGATGATATCATCTTTCCTTTCATTTCTTGCAAAAGATGTTGCACTGGGGGATACCTCAGCACTGAGTTAAGCCCACAGGTTTTCCCAGGGCTGCTGAGCAATGCTGTGCCTGCCACAGGGGTGGCCCCTCTCCAGAAAACAGGATTTATTCTTTATTTCTTGGGGTGAGTTTGTCCTGACAGTGATAGCAGGGAGAAGAAGGGCAGGAAGGGCACTGTCCTTTCTCAGGAAAGCTCTGGGGGCAGAGGAACAATCTGGCTGAGGACTGGATGTCCTTCCACACCATCACCTTGCTCAAACCAAATTTTCACCCCTTAAGCAACCTGTGTCATAGCAAACCCCTCTTTTTCCCTTCACCCTGTAATAATGACCCCAGGAACTGACCTGGTATCTTTTGTGGCAGATCAGCATTTAGGCAGCTGTTTGTCCTTGTGCCCAGTGAGGACACAACCCCTGGGGTCCATTTTGCAGGAGGTGGAAGATGGTGGCCACCACCGAGGGAGTTTTGGCCACTTCTCTGCAAAGCTGCCATCAGCTTTAGGCTTCAGCATCCTCTACCTGGCTGGCAGAGGTGGCAGTGCAGTGACAAGTGTGTCACACTCCCTGCCAGGGGCAGACAGAACTCTGCATCTGAGACAGCCCAGAATTTGCAGGGACCATGTCCCATCACGAAAAACCCTCCAGCATACAGCAAAAAGGATCTGTTCACCCTCATTTTTCCCCATGCACCTGCACCTGGGTATGAAGGAACCCCTGAAACTCCCCCAGGAGCACAGGAGCTGCTGCAGCTGCCCGTGTTCCCTGCAGAGGAGGCAGGCATCCCTTCTCCCTGGCACAGCAGAGCTGGGAGCAAGCGCCTGCAGCCGTGGTCTGCCCTTGTAGGGTAATCTGTGCGTGGAGCTACCTTGGCTGGGTGCTGGCAGAGGAATGTGTCCCCATGGGCCAAGTATTCCCTTGAGCTGTGGGATGCTCTGCAGGAGAGCAGTGCTGCACCTTCCAGTGCTGGAATGTCCACACAGGATTTTACAGCTCTGCTACCTTGCTTTTTGTTTTTATTTCCCCCCTCTCCTGTTTTCTCATACGTGTCCGTGTGTCGTGCTTTAGAAACGGAAGAGCAGAGGGAAGCTGCCAGTGTTGCTGCCCTGATATTGCAAAGGGATGGGGGGGACAATTTCCCATTTTATTTTCTCCTGGGGTCCGAGGTCTTGGCTGAAGCTCAGGGTGCCTTGCTGTGAAGGGGGAGATGTGGAGTTTTCAGAGCTACAAGGGCTGCAGTGTTTCCCTTGGTGAAGGAAGTGATCTGGGCTGGCAGAGGGAGCCTGCACGTCTCCAGCAGCACCTTTTACAGGAATCTGTTGAGGAAAGTCAAAAGCAGTAAGGAAAAACCTCCCCAAAAGCCTCAGCTGTCCAGGGGAGAGCAGACCTTGGAGAAGCTGAGCTCACATTGTTCAGCTGCTGGTTTGCAAGTGCTGAAGGACTGTGACACCCCTGGTGTGAAGCAGCATCCTGAGAGACCATGACCATCCCATCATCCCTGCAAACAGGTCCTGCATCCCCCCTGCTCCTGTTACCAGTGTGAGGGAAGGACAGATGGACACCGACATTCAGGGACCTGCATGTGTGGGAGCTGGACCCTTGGCTGGTTGCAGGGCTCATGGAAGCACCTGACTCGCTCCATGCCAGGATTGTGTTACTTTAGAGACCTGAGAGCAACTTTTCAAAGGGCACCCACTGTGGATAAACACTGCAGCCATGTCCCCTTCCTGTCCCTGCCTGCCACATGCCATGGCATCCTCCTCCCTGTTTGCACAACCACGGGGGGATGTGTTTAGGGGAAGTGCCATGGTTGGCAAATTACCACTGGTGTGTCACCAGGTGGGGACTGTAGAGCTGCTGGAGAGGGAAAAGATGCTGCTGCAATGGGGAGGAGATTAATTTTGATTATTGCAATGATATTTAATAAGTGCAGTTGCCAGCATCCCTGCTTTACACCAAAGCCTGCAGTGTCATCCAGAGGGATGCTGCCATCACAGCAAACCATTTTATCCCAGGACACAAGGGCTGGGCTCTGCAGCCAGCACTGGAAAAAAAATTTGGCAGAAGTTGCAAAAAAGCCTTTTCCCTCTCTCTTGCCTGTTATTTATTAATTCCCCTGAAAGCTTGTCGGCACCAGGGCTGGCAGCAGGCGCGGAGCCTCGCGGGTAACCCCGGGCAGGACCCGTATTTATCAAGAGCACAGGAACAGCGTTCCCCAGTGAGATGTATTTCGTGATGTGTGCAGTGATGAAAGATAGAGAAATACAGTCAAAAGATTCACGATAAGGGATTTTTCTAACTCTCCTTAGCAAGTGCTGCTTCTGAGTGGGGTTTTTTCAAGGAAAAAAATCTGTTCTGGGCAGGCCAAGCTATGAGGCTGGAGGGCAGCTGCTGCCTCAGGGATCAGGGACACTCCTGTCAACTGCTTGAAAATTTGGGATCAAGTTGCTGTAAGTCAAGTTCTGGCAGGGATTTGGAGGCTGCTCACATGGAGTTCAAGCTGGATACCATCGCTTTTCTACAGGCCATGTGTTGCTTGTTACCTTCCATGTTCAACCTCATCCATCTGGAGGGAGGGAGAAGGTAGGAGGGCAGCCCTGGGACAGTGGCTGTGATGAGTAGGTTGGTCCTTGCTCATTGTTTTGGAGGTGTTTATGGGTGTGTGTAAGTGGTGTCAGCCCATGGAGCAGTATCTGTGTCTGGCTGCAGCAGGGCTGAGGCTCTGAGGTGGGTGGGAGGATGCAGTGAGCTTCCTTCTCTCTGAGCCACTGCTTTTCCCTGCATAATGCCTCATTAGGAGCAGTAAGGAGGGATCCTGCCTACTCGCCTTCCCACATGGCTCCACCTCATCCCTTTTCCTAACTCTTGCAGAGACCTTCCTCGCCCAGGGAGCGGCATCCTCCTCCTCCTCATGCAGCCTGAGCTGCCACAGCTGCAGTCAGGATCCCAGGTTCCTTCTGGGATCAACCCAGGAGCAACCGTTCTTGGTAACAAAAACACAGAGCTGGTTTGCTTTTGAACCCTCACCAATACTTTTCCTTCTCTTTTTTTGCCCTTTATTTCAGGAGAGGAGGACAAGAAATGAATGACACGAGGGCGACACTCCGAACCAGAGGATCCCTAACTTGTAACTCGGACTGAAGTCTTGCATGACCATCGCTAAAGCCAGCAGGACATGCATGTGTCCGACTATCAGACAAATGCGGGTGAATCGTCGAAAAGAAAAAAATACTGATTTTGTTTTGTTCTGTAGCTTTCTTTTTCCTGTACATATGAGTGCAATTACTGGACAGCTGGCGTAGAGTTTGGGGATGGAGCTGTGTGGATCTGAATCATTGTAATGTGGTTCCTTGGGATTTGTTCTTGCCAAATTTGAGACCCTCTTTCCAATTTTCACCCTGAGTGAGTGAGCACGGGCAAGGCGGCCTTCCTGAGAGATTAAGGCAGGAAGTTGGGATTTGAGGCCAGATCCCTCAGTGGGATGGGATGCACAAGGCAGCTTCAGGGGCTGGGAAGGGCTTGGCAGTGAGTGAGGGCAGGGAGAGAGGAGAGGGGGGCTGTGTGTTGGGATTGTTGAGCCTTGATGATGACCACAGTGTTGCTGCTGCTGCTGTGCTCTGCTCCAGTGGCTGCAGCAGCTGGGCATAGCTTCAGAGTGTGTTCAACACTGGTGTGAATCTCATGGACGTGTGTTTATATGTCGAGGTCAGGTGCATATGGTGGAAGATGAAGTTCTCCCTATTTATCACGCTGTTCTGTTTGATCCCTGCATTATGGAAAGCCCAGCACCTTCTCAGGCTCATCCAGCCTGAGCACTATGAAGTCTTGTCTGTTCTCCATCTGGAATCTTGCTAGATCCCATCTGCACTATATAAGGCAGTTCTTCTCCTTCTAGGGGCAGCCATGTAAAGAAAAGCAAGGGGATGCCCACTTTGCATTCCTCATGTCCACCACTCCTTCCTGGTCACACTTTCCTCAGTGAATTTTAAACTATTTCCCTAGCAGGAGTAGAGCCTAAGTGTTTAGGAGCACATCCATGACTTCATGCGCTCTGCTTTGGAGAACATCACTGACTTGAACAGGGCATTCTTGCCAAGGGATCAAGATGGGAATGAATGTATCCTTGTACATAATGTGGTCTTTCTCTGTGAGTGGTGTTTGTTGTGGCATCCCTTTTTGTAAGGCACCAACTTTATCTTGCCCTCTGGGGATTTTTCCACAGCAGGAGTGAGACAGGCTTCAGTGAGGGTTTGTAGATCAGGAATGGATTTTGGGATCCATTAAATTTATCTTTCTCCATTGAGATGCATCAGCTGAGAAGCTGATAGTGGTCAGTTTCTTCTCCAGCTCTCCAAATCCTCCCTCCTGTTTTCCTCATGGTCCTTAGGATCCATCCTGATGATATTTAGTTAGCCAGAGCCTGTATCTTTCTCTTACATTCCAGCAACAGCACTAGAGCCAGGGTCTGGGATAGCATTTGCTCCTTTGCTGTTGGGTTTTCTCTTCTACTTTTTGCCTCTTAGAAGCTTCCAGTGTTTTTCTGTATCATCTGGGCAAGAGCATTTCTCCTTCCATACAGTAGGTGCCAAATATCATCCCTCCTTTCTTTTCTCCATCACCAGCATTGAAGATGAGCAGAGCCCCCAGACCAATGGGAATGTACAGAATTGTTATACTACTGAGCTGATTTATTGTACAGAAAACCTTGCATGAAATGTTGTTACTGTATTTAATATATAATGTATTCAAGGAATTTTAATATGGAGCTCTTAAAAAAGATCTTTATAGATACTCTGTGGTTAGAAGATTGTTGCTGATTTTTTAAAATCTTATTATACTTTGTCTTGAAGAAGTTTTATTTTTCAAATGTGTTCTGTCTAAATGATTTAATCAGTTGATCCCATGGGATAACCAATTCCTCTTCAAAGATTTTCACCATGGATGAGACCCACCCTGGTGTAGAGGACCAGGACATGACCCAGGTACTGTATAAGCCTTCAAAATAAGGCTTCAGTAAGACTAATGCTGTAGACATGTGATTTGCCCTTCCTCAAAAGGGTGGATTTCACCTTGTTTTAGTACAGGTCACAGAAGTAAAGAATTGTTTAAGGTGGGAAAGACATCCGAGATGATTGAGTCCATCTCCATCGCTCTGTGCAGAAAAACAACCAGTGGGAATTTAGTCCAGTTCCAGCTCAGTGTCATCAGAGGAAGCAGCTTCTCTGTTTCTCTGAGGCTAACAACCAGTTTGGGAGAATTTGGGCTGGATTCAGAGGCTAGACTGCATTCAAAGCATCCCAGCCCTGTTTGGAGGGTCCACCAGGGCTTTCAGCTGCCCAGTGGCATCTCCCTGGGATGTGGTGGCCTTGTTCCCTTGTGCCTACAGGAACCTGCTTGGTCCATCCACCACCTGAGTTACACTGTTTTCCCTGGACTTGATGTCGGATAGAGGATTATTAATTTAACCCAAATATGTGTGGTGTGGAGAAGTTTCTTGTGTAAAAGCCCAGGCAGTGTCAGTCTGTTCAAGCATTGGGTCACAATTGTGAGTTAGCAAACCCTGAGCCATCATGGGCAACAAACCAGAGCTGTGTCCCAGCTTCTTCTTTCCAGCAGCAGCAAATTGCATTTTATTTCTATTGTGAGGCTTCAGATCTACCTAGAAAATAGTCCAGCTAATCTTCACTAGAGTTGCCTGGAGCAGGTGGCCCCCTTGCTTGGAGGGACCATTTTGACACGTCCCCATTTCCCCTTCTGAATGGGTGACCATGTCTCTCGTCTCTCCCCCCATCCTTTCATTACTTGGAGTAAAGGTTTCACTCCATACTTTCGATTACAGGGGCTTATACTTCAAACATCTTAATGCAGTAGAAAAATATCCATAGATGTAAGTATTTTTTCCTTTATTCTTCAGTGAAAGGTCAGGATAAATCACAGAGTAGTTATTTATTGCATGTGTGCCAGCAGCAGTGTGCTGGGAGCTTTTACAGGCTGGAACATGTTCTTATGTAAACTTGGAGATCCCAGAGCCAAGATCATCACTTTGGGATAGGCTCTTGTGTCTTACCAAGGCATCTGACAGTGCAATACAAGGGAGATGGACACTGGGTGGCTGTTTTGCCCTAAAGCTTTTTTTAAAAAGCAGCTTAGGGCCAAACCTCTGGGATCCTTGCTTTTCTTGGCAACAGAGGTTAGGAATTATTTCCTTTTTAGTTTTATTTTGATGGTGCTGCCTGGCATATTCTAAGTCTATAAATAAAACTCAGGTCTTTCCAGCAAGACCTTTAGCATTGGTGGGCTGCTGTGACAGATCCTCCACAAGATGCAGGGCATAGGATGTGCTGGATGGCAGCATGGGATTATCCATGAGCACTTTATACTCCTTCCTCAGGGTCCAAGCACCATGCTGGGGTACAGCCAAGGTGGGAGGGGAAGGTCCTGTGTTCCTGGGGCAAGCACCAGGGGGATCAGCTGTGGAAAGTCCTTTGTACTGTTTTGGGATATTGTGTCATTGTGACCAGTTGCTGGATGAGCTCTTCCCCCTGTGGTGTGTGATCCCACGGGGAGGCACATTGGAAAAGGACAAAGAGCCAAGTGCTGCATGCTGCATTTCGTTTGTGTCATGTGGCCCAGGTCTGGATGAGGTTTGTGCTTGTGTGTTTGGGGTTTTGGCACTGTGAACATTCCGTGTGTGTGTGTTTCTGGTGATGCTCTGCTCAGCCAAGGCTGGATGGCACCACCAGGCACTGGACAGGGCAGTAGGGGGGGACAGGTTCTATGGAGGGGCTGGAGGACTTTGTTCCTTTAAGAGCATCAAACCTGGGATTGAGTCAGAGTTTCTGCTCATGGTGTGGATGGCAGAAAGAGGAGCAATAGGAAAACTCAGCATTAATTTTTGGTCCTTCTTTTGTACATCAGGTTGGTAATACTGCTTCCTAGTCAGGGTTCTGCTCCACCAAAATTCATCAAATAATGATTTGAGCTGTGCAGGGGCCCTGGCTGTGGAAGATGTTCATGGGGTTCAGTGACCTTGGCATTAAATCACTCCTGAAACTCAAACACACCAGTCCCCTCTACCAACCCCTAAGATTTACTGTGATTTTTGGACCTGGCCTGGCCATCACTTTGTGTAAATGATGCCAGAGATTCAGCCCCATCTGGGCTCTTTTTCCTTCCACTTCTGCAGTGGCATTTTCTGTCAGGGAAGACAGCCTGGGACTCAGCTGTTTGGTGCCACCCGAGAGGGCTTTACCCCATGCAGATTTAGTGTGGCACAGATGGGGTTAGGATTCGCAGGGCTGCAGTGAGGAGGAGACACAGGGTAAATTGTGCCCCCTGGACCGGTTCTTGTGGTGCCATTCTGCTTTTGGTGTGAGTGGGGCATTAAATGAGCCAAAATCTGTGTGTGCCTGGAGAGCTGGGCACTTGGGACCAAGAGGAGGGTGACCACTGAACTGCCAGCGGGTGCCCTCAGTGGCTTCAGTCTGGGAATATGCTGATTTTTTTATATGAGATGCCTGAACAGCCAAACTTAGAAATCTCTGAGATTGTGCTTCATAGCAAAAGGTAAATTGTTATATCTTGGGGGGTGGGAGGGTGTTATCTGAGGGGAAGAACTGAAAGAAATGAGGTTTCCTATTTTATTATATGAGAGATATTTTTCCACTAAATTACCGCTTCCTAAACTGTGTCCTTTGTCTGACTGTAAATAGCCAGGTGTGCTGGGAAGACGTGGGAAGGCTCCTTGTGGTCACATCCATACAATCCACTCTGTTCACACAATATCGGGCTGATTTGTTTTATACTTAGAAAATTACAGAAATAAAAGCAATTTTACTGGATTACTCTGGGTTTGGGGTTTTTTTGTCTATTTTGTTGTTGTTGTTTTACCTTTTTGTTTTTTTGCTTTTCTTGTTCCATTTGTGGCTGATTTGGGGGGCATTTGGGAGCCCATGGAGCCATATGGGTGTGCCTGAGGGCATTCTTCAGCCGTAAAAGGAGTTGTGCTCACCAGATCAGGATTTCTTGTGGGTTTTCAGAGGAGCCAAACTAGAAATGGAGCTGAGCTTGTGCCTGGCATGGGATGACAAAGGCAAAATGAGCACAGTGGCATAATACGACTGTTGGGAATTTTTAAATTCACTCTTGGGGCACAAGAATACAAATAACAGTGCTAATTTTGACTGTGTCCAGAATAGTCATCACCTTATCTTCCCCAGCTGGGAGGGGAGGTTTAAATAAGCCCTGCATTAACCTCCACAATAAATAATTGTGAAATAAATAATAATTAAATAGCTTGGCCTCCTCTGGGGGGATGGGATAGGGCTTGGGGCCATGCGTTTCCATCTCTGCATCACCCAGAGCTCTGCCCATGGTGATGTTTGAAGCATAAAATCCTGATCCAGCTGCAGATCCTGTTTTGGAGCAAATCTGTGTTCATGGCAACATCTACCCTTGGTGCTTTTTTGCTGGGATGTGGCCCCATATATTCCTTCCCAGTGTTGTGAGCAGGACAAAGGTGGTGTGCAAGGTAAGCCAAAAGCTTTGTGACCCCTGGGGGGGTTACCAAGAGGGACATGGGATACCCTGGCACATGCTGGTTTTGGGAAAGGATTATTGTTTGGTCTCCTTTTTGCCAGTGCAGACTAATGTCAGAGCAAGAGGAGCACCACTGCCATGGCTGGAGGTGACCCTCAAGCCAGTCCCCCATACCAGAAATGCTGTCTCAAGACACGGTGGTGAAGAACACCCCAAATTCCCCACCTGATGTTGTGCCAGCCCCTGGACCCCTGGGGCTATGCTTGTCCTTTGATGGCATCATTCAGAAAACAGGTGTTACCCTACCAAAAAAATCCCAAGGATCCCTGTATCCCATGGCACAGGTTCAGCCCCCACGTTGGATGTGCATCCACATTTCTGGAGCCCACAATGCCCACAGGGCCACTGACACCCCCAACATCTCAGGTTCATACTTGCTTTGGCATCAGCAAAAAATACTGCTGAAGTATTTCCAGGGAGATGTGTTGTCACAGCAACTGGGGATGGAAATGCCACTTCTGAAGGGTGAGTACCACCAAAAACATCTTGTGCTGGGGCGTTGCAGCACGGGACAAGTAGAGAGCCGAGCCAGCCTTGCTGGGAAGGAGTGAAGAGAGGTCAAGGACAAGTTAAAATTGGAAAGAAAACTGAACATGCTGTTTTGTAGGACCTTGCTTGCTCTCATCTGCCAATTTTTTTTCCACTCTCCCCATTGCCATTGGTGCAGTGGAAGCATCTTCAGCAACTGGTGAGGGCAAGGGGGCTGTGGCAGCAAAAATTACTGGAAAAAGCCACCGGCTCTCAGGGACTCTTCTTGGCAACCTTGACCACAGCAGGTCCCCTCTGCACCCACCATCATATTTTAAATCTTGCCTCCATGCTACTCCTCCCCATCCACGGATCTGCAGCGTGCCACACATTTTTGTGCTGAAATTCAGAGTTCTGTGCTAGACGCTGCCAAGCATGAGTCTGAGTTGTGTAATGAGCTTCGTCTATTATTTTTATATTTTCTTTTCCTCCGTCAGTGTCTGAGAGCCTGGAAATACCTGGTAGCTTTTATGCCTTCCACAGCGGTGCTTCCCTGGGTGTGGGTGGGCTTGAGCCCCATGCAGAGGTTTTCAGAAGCCTCTCTGTGCTCCAGCACTTCCTGTCCCAGATCAGAGCAAGAATGCACTTGCATTTCCAAGTGTCTCCCTTAAAAATACCAGATTTTTCATTTTTCTCTCAGCTCCAAGCACAGGCTGAATGTGTTTAATGGGCAGGGGGAAGAAGTTCCTTTCACAGCCATGGATGGACTCCTGTGCTAACCCTGCACAACACTGCCAGGGATTCCCCTGGAGGGTCACCAGCCCTCAATGCCCTTGGCATCTGGCCCAGCTGGAGCTGGAGATGCTGGATGAGGCCAAAGCCTGGCACTGGGGACCAGTCAATGCCAGCTGACCCAGGAGAGTGTTTGGGAAATCTGGCCTTAGGTCTTTGCAATCTCAGACACAAACATGACACAAATGAGGGCTTTAGAGCCTCATTTGCTGTTTTTGCTTCCGTTTTCCCCTCCTGTGGATAGTGGAGCTAGATGGGCTCATTTTCCTTATCTCTATCTGGTTTTAGAGTCATAGAATCACAGAATGGTTTGGGTTGGAAGGGGCCTTAAAGATCATCTCATTCAAACCCCCTCCCATGGTCAGGGATACCTCCCACTACAACAGGTTGCTCAAGGTCTCATCCAACCTGGCCTCGAACACTTCCAGCTCTACTCTCTGTGTCCCTGTGTTGTCCCCACTTGGTCCTTTGTTTCCATGATGCTCAGGTCAGGTCCAGTTCAGCGCTTTCTGTGCCCTGGGCAAACCCATCCTCAGTGCCCAGGACCTGCTGCAGATGAACTCAAGCTGCTACTGTTCCTGCACCTCATCACTCCAGGCAGAGCACCCCGAGCACCTCCTGTCTGCTCTGCTTGGAAGCAGCCAAGAGATACAAAAGTTTTTCAGAGGAGATGGCTGTGAGTGTAATGACAGCACTGTACCAGTTTGTGTCTGTGGGAACCTGAGATAAAACCATCCCCAATGTCCCAACTATGTGTGGGTATCAGTGCACAGGGTCATGGGACACCCCACAGGCTGCACCTTACACAGCAGGCTGGTAAAAACCTCTTCCTCTTAATTCTATTTTTACTTTTCATTTGGGTGTTACAGTAATGCATTTATTATCACAGCAAACAGACATCCCAGCCTCCCCCAGGACAGCCCAGTGTCTGCACCACAGCTGGAAGCATCGCAGCCCCATGAGCTCAGCAGCTCTGGCCAGTGACTGCCCTGTGTGGGCAGGACAACCAACAACTGAACAGCCCAAGCAGGGCACTGTCCCTCGATAACCACCTGGCAGAGGCAGGGAGGTGTGTTGGCAGCCACCTGGCACCACCATGGCACCATTGCAGGGCCACAGAGGTGAGCAACGCCTGTGCAAACTTACTAAATTCCCTGTGATAAAGTAATTTAAGGAGTGGCAATCCCAGGGATGGCGTGGGTGTGGGAGAGGTGTGAGCCCACAAGTGTTTAGCCTGTGTTTTTTCAAACATTTGGATGCTGTGGCCAAGTGGGTGCCCATGCTGGGTGCTGGTATCAGCCCAGGAAAAGATTTGGGTTCTGTTGATGCTCTAGGCTGGAGTCTTCTGCTCTCCACATGACTCCAGACAGGGTCCAGCTCCACTCACCAGCTGCAACATGGCTCCAAGAGATTATAAAATGGCAGATGCATATTATCTCCCAATGGAAAGTATTTTAGCTAAACCCATGCTATAACCATTTTATTGACTCTAAGTACCAGAGAGGAGGTTAGAAGTGACTCTTTTACAAGTCATTTTGCTGTTAAATTTAGCTGTCCTATTTTCATTATCCCCATGGCCTTGGCAAGGGTGAGCAGCCTTCCCTAAAAGGCCTCGTTTCATACAGTAAGTTATTTGCTTCTCTCCTGACAGATATCTAAGCTTATAAGGTTTGTCTGCTCCACTCAATAGCAGTATCAGCCTTCAGTCTGTATGATTAACATCAGCATTTTGTATTTGCTTTTGGCTCCTTGTCTGACAGCTTTCCATGTTGCTGAGGACTGGGCCATTGGGATCGCATCACGTCACTTGCAACGTGGGATCATCTGATTTTGATTCCCAGGCTTCATGGTACGCCCAAAAGATTCAGATAAATTATTCCACTGCTTTTCCCCCTAATTTTTCCTTATTGGCTAGCAAAGATAATTGATTTGTTCCACTTACTTCACAGTTGTCAGCTCTGTAATATATGGAGTCAGAAGGTTAATATGACAGTGAGCATTCAGCAAGTGAACTTGAGAGGTGTTGATGCTAAAAGGAATATTCCTGAAAGGAAAAATTTATCCCAGCAGGTTAAGATTTTCCATGCTTCCAAAACTATTTCCTCCTGCAAAGAGGGCCTTTAACCCAGGCTCGGTGGCTGCAGAGAGCCAGTGTCTCCTTTGAGGCCAAAGGAGGCAGCAGATGAACTGGAGCTCACGGAGCCTGTCCCTGCCTGGAGTGCTGAAGCAGCTGGGCGCTGGGATTTCTGAGGAAAACATCCTCTCTTTCCCCCAGAAACACAGCCCCAGTGCTCCCTCCTGAGCCTCAGAGCTCCCCAGCACAAAGCTCACCCCTGTAGGGCTGTGCCCTGGAGCTGCCCTGGAGCTGGGGATGCACTGAGGGCACAGGGCCCCCCATCCACAGCCTCTGTGCTTTTCCCAGCAATGAGCCAACCCCTTCAAAGCTCCCCATTGCGGCTGTTGGCCCCCAAATTTCAGTCTGGCGCTTTCAAATCCTGTCCCTTTCTCAGTGATATTTGTTTAAATAGTGTCTGCATCAGAGCTGAGCATCGCTCACTGTGACCCCGGCTCGCCTGGCCCTGCTCACGGCCGGGCCATTCAGGAAATGCTGGAAATGCTTCCAAATGCACCCAACCCAGCCCAGTGCAAGCGCTGGGAAGGAGCCAAGCCCCAGCTGTCTGGCCTTACCACGGGAGGAGGCCAAGCTGGGTGCCCTTCTGCTCCGTGGGTCAGCTCCGAATCGCTGAGCTGCGCTTTCTGGTGCTCCCCCTTCTCTTTCTCGACCCTTTTTCTGCGGCAGTTTTGGGAGACAGAGTAGACATGGGCTCAGGACACACAGCCTGAGGTGGCTGCTCTGGCAGGAAAGATGATTCCCAGTCCTAACTCCTAAAATCCCTCCCGGGACCCCCACAATCTCTTCCATCCCACTGTTGCCCCCAGGCATGGCTCGTGGTCTCTGCTCATCCCAAGCCCTGCTGCAGCC